AATTGCCGCCCCCCAATTGCCGCCCCCTTCCCTTTTCCCCACAAGAAAGAAAAATAGAGGACGGCTGGCTTACTCTCATGCTCTCCCCAGCGCGCGTCACCAAGGCACCGGTAGTGCATCCGCGTGGCGAAATGCAACGACCCGAGCGCGACGTCGTCCGGGGTGACGCCCAGCTCGTGCTGGAGCTTGCGCTGCGCCGCGCGCCGGGATCCCGCGATGCCGCCGGTTTCCGTCGCGACTGCCAGCGGGTGGGAGCAGCACGTGTTGGTCCACTGGTTGGGCAGGGTGATCTTGTGGCTGGCGCGCTGGTGGATCAGGAGGCGGTTCTGGGTGTCGAATAGGAGAACGGAAAAGGCTCGATGGAGGAGGCCGCGGTCGATGTTGGCGAGTTGGTGGCCTGGACGTGATGGGTGGGTTGGGATATCAGCTGGTGGTTTGAGAAGGGAAAAGGATATTTTCCACGCGTGACTTACAGACTCTCTTGCTGGCCATGCCGATTTCCCTATCTTCCTCGTCGACAACGATGCAGATTTCCTCCATCAATGCATCTTGGCTTGGTGGCGGGTCCCCGGTGCGCGTGGCGGATGCGAGGGCCTTGTTGGCTGAGACGTCCAGCGGTTGGACGTCTGGGTATAGGTGCAAGATGTTCTCGGAGGTGGGTTGGGGTAGGTTGGACTTGGGCACAGTAGCTGACATTGCGGGTACTTGGGATTGTGTCTTGAAAGTGAAGGAATTGTGTGAGAGTAGACGATGGGTTGGGCCTCACGGCGGTGCATTGTTTATGTTGAGCCCTACTGCCGGGGGCGGTTGGAACCGGCTGTGCGCATCCCATGCTTGTCGCCACCGGCTGTTGTGTCCAGCTTGACATAAAGTGCAGGAGATGAGGTCGTGTCTGGTAAGTATAAACACAATCATCCTGAAATGTTCTGAATCACCCTGTGCAGCAACCTAATCCACGTTGAGCAGTCACGCACACCCGCCTCATTCGAACAATCAGAAAGAATAGACCAGATGGCAGCGATATCTCTCAGCTCCGTGGCCGCGTACGTCTTCGTTGGAAAGACGGCGAGCGTGGCCGGTGTTCTTGCCCCGGAGATGCAGAAAGCCGGCGCACGCACGTTCATCTTCATCACTGAGTCCACGGGTCCGAACGCAGCTCTCGCGAACATAGTCCAGAATCTCCAAGCTGCTGAAGCCACGGTGCTTCTCTACACAGACGGCCTGTCTCAGGTTGATCGTCTGAAGACAGTAGTCGGGCTCTGGACCACGGAAGGCCGTCGCATCGGAGGTGTGATCTACGACCAGACGGACGCGGTAGTAAGTGCCTTGCATGACCTTCCATGACGTTGTGACTAATTGTGTCATTCAAGCCTGATGATCTCGGGGATGTTCTATACCACGCCGCGGGGATGCAGAATCTACACCAGAGCACCGCCACGCTGCAGTTGGACTTTTTCCTCGTCTACCACGAGAAGGACACTCCTGCTGCCGCGATGGCCAAGCGCTTGGCTCGCCACCGGTCTCGTTTTGGGCTCCCACTTACGTCGCTGGAGCTCGAGTGTAGACCTTGGGTCGCGGACGCAGTCGAGACCCAGATCCTGACAGGCTTTCGATCAGTCTTCCCAGACCCCGCTCAGGCAGAGGGACGGAATCAGCACCCAAAACCCGGGACCGGGAGTGTGTACTCTTCATCCTCGGGTGACGGTACTGCTCAGACAGAGCCGACCACCCCTGGTGGCTCGAATGCATACTGGAGCTCGCCTCTTCCCGCAAATTCTCCCTTGGAAGAGTGCGATCCAAACTTTGTCCAAGCCTTGGCTGCCGGAACAGATCATTCTCCGATCAAGGTGAATACTGGATCTCTGTTTCTGTTCGATATTGCCGCAGAGCAAATAGCCAGTCTCCTCGCCGTGGAAGCTGACGAAATTGACCTCGATGCCCCGGTCGCAGCCCTCGGAGTCGACTCTCTGATTGCCACTGCCTTCTGCAATTGGCTGGAGACAGAGGCCAAAGTACAAGTGGTCCCATTCGAGTTTCTGGAGGCGGAGTCGCTGCGGCGTTTTATCCAGCATGTCATTCATCCTCGAGAAGGATCGTAACATGATTGTATATAGCACATAGGTATACCAGTCTATCGAACCCAACGTTTCTTTTGAGGATATTAGTCCAGGAGCTTGGAGTAGGTGATCGGGGCGACAAGGTACCAAAACAAACTCGCCGTGTACATTCTCGCGCCGCAGACGGCGAACTTAGAGTCGCTCAGTGTCTATAAGGGTCAGACCGCGGTCTACGTGGGCGTCGTACGGGACGTCGTTGTAGGGGTTTGGGAAAGGGGGGAAGGGGGGCGAAGGATTTCAGCGATCTCAACGATCTGAGCGATATCAGCGCTGTAGGACTCGCGAAGAAAGTCGATCAATAAGCACCGAGGGTATGCCTCCCACACGACTAGGGGGGTCAGGATGTGGAACGTCATGTTCATGCGTTCGTGCTGCCGTGACTTTGCCGTTGATGGTTGCGTGGAAGCTTTCCGGGAGATGGTGCACTGCTGGTAGCAGGCGTCCAGAGCTGTGGTAAAGCACCGCATGAGGTATTGTACTGCATGACGCGTGGAGGCCTGGCTTAACGACGATGGGGGCATCCGGGCCGTTCAGGATGCCCACGCAGCCGGCGTCGCAACCACCACCACCCTCTCCCAGAGTGATGTCACTGAAACCCCGGCCATCCTCACACCAATAATTTCATCCAGAATATGTGGGAGGGAATGGATGGTCGGACAGAAAGGCTTTGTTTTCGGCATCTTTGCATTGTCGGGGTGATTTTCCAGGGCAGGTGACTCGATGAAACGAACGCTCCAGGAACCAAGCTTCGTATTAGGCTCACTGGCCTCTACGACTTGCACAGTACGATCTTATGAGAATAGGTGCCTTCTAGGACGATAGTGGGCCGACCAGCTCGATGTTCGACTGAGCTATTGGGAGAGATGTTGGCCGCGAAGATTGATCTAAGGACCCGATCGGATGCCCGCGCAGTCATAACACCAGAGGGGTGTGCTGCAGTGGGTTACTCTTGAAACAAATTGCTTTGACATATCCGGGACAACAAGAATCACCTGTGAGGGGGCCACTGATTCTCTGTAGACTGAAGGAGTAGTGGTGCTTTCTAGACTGGGGTTGTGAGACTTTGTGGACTGGGCAGGGCCGCGCGTGGAACGCCATCGAAGTAGATGGGCAGCGAGCGTGGTGGAAGAGCACTCACCTTTCAAACGGGAAGGAAACCTGTCGGGCGGTGGTGTTACATTCTAGACGAGCGAGGTTCGATTCGGTTGATTACATGTTACCAACAACCCCGGTGCCCTCGTTGCGCCGATGGGTGCAGATCAGGGTACCGTAAAATGCAGCATGGAATGAGGATCGTTCATCGGAGTTGAAAGGTAACTCGCGATTCTGCCGCATCAGCATGGGTAGCTTAAGGAAAGGGAGGCAAAAGGAGGAGGATCGACAGGCAGCATGAGTAGTGCAAAGATGTGTCGGCAGCGACCCGTCACCGGCAGGACTTTCGCTGTGTTTCTCGGAAAACAACGGTGTGAGGAAAATAGATGAAAAGGAAGTATCCATCCATAAAAGAAAGACAAGAGGCAAAAACATACAACAGAAGGGATTCGCTGGTGGTCACCCACCCAACTACTAACCTCCCGGCGTGTGGCTTGAGTACGGCTGAGCGGACGGGAAGCCCTATTTTCCACACCCTGTGGTCGTATGTGTTTGAGATCTGGCTCCAAGAAAACATGACTGCACGCGTAGGTCTTCGAAAGGATGACAGGATTGAGAGCACGATCCCAAGAAGAGACTCAAGAGGATTCATTGTGTTTTTGGTTTGCAGCGTGACGCTAGGAATTGATTAGACAGAAAAGAAGTGGTTTGGAACTTGTAGATGGACTTTCCTTGTAAGCAGCGATCAGGGAAGGGGACTTGTCACATTTTAAGCATGTTCTAACCGATCGATATTTTTGACGACTCCGTCCGGCAGTACCGCCCCGCTACAGTCAATCTGGCTACTAGCCATTTCTACGCATCAACAATCCAGTCAAAGACACTTCACACAGCCACCACCGTGATGGAGGGGACAGACAAGACTCATATCGGGAGTCAAGTTATGCTTTCTGAGCTGGTCGTTGCAATCGACCTACGTGGGAATGAGAAGGGAAAGGAATCAACAAATCCTCCACACAGGCTGTGTCTTGAACTCAGAAATACGAATTCTAAATTAGAAATAAAAATGGATGAACAGGTAAATCAACCGTGATGAAGACTTGTAGGCACTTGATGGAATGTCAGAGGAGGATAATCGACCGGATTAACTTGGGGTATCCAGCCTTCCCCATTCCGAGAAAGAATCCCTCAAGCTGAAAATAACACAGAGTAAGTAGGTGAACCAAGCGCAATAACTACCTTAGCTTATTCGCTTGGCAGACTACTCGAGGCTGGAGAGAGATTGATTGACCTGATTAAGTTGGGGCGGGGGGCGGCATTCAGCCTCCCGGATCCTAAGACAAAGGACTCATGTATGTCCGCTCAGAGCAGTGGGCGATGCCACCGCATTGAACACCAACAAAGTTTGGTCCACTCAATCATCCACTCTCCGTTCTGTACAAGCAACTGGGCTGTACCTTTGTCACTTACGTATGTCAAAGATGCCATTATCCTCTTTGCAGTCTGGTAAAATTAGATTTTTTCATCCCACCCAGGTATAAGACATATGCACCGAGCACCCCAAACGTCTTCACTTCTCCATCTCGTCTACCCAGCGATCGACCTCACACACTTCAACTGCCCAAGCCCCTCTCTTTCCGAGCCTACAGCCCAGGCGACATCCAGAGCTGGCAAGCCTGATCCCACGAGGATGGAACTGTGGTGCTCAGATCCCGACGCCCAATTCGACCAGCAAAATTGGAGTAGGTGATTTCATCATCTCATTCATCTAGCGAGCTGAATGGGGGTGGACATTCCAGGCTGATCATGCATCAATATGCAATAGAAACGTCCCACGACGAAGTGATCTACCTCGAGGGTTACAAGACTTCTACTCGAAAGGTTGCGTACGAAGCCAGATACAGCTCTAACGGCCACATTGCAGACCAAGGGACTCTTCGGACTACCTACATCGGCGTCATCTTTGCGTGTAACAAGAGTTTTCACCCATCATCCGGCATTGACAGTGAATTCTTCCTCGTCTGGGATGTTCCTGAGCCCCCGACGACGTCCGATGGTGAGAAGACGAAGGGGGCAGGGAAGGAAGGGTCACCGATCCGCCCCTTTCTCCACCAATGCACCGATTTGTACATCGCCAGGTCCTTCCACGACCTCGTTAGGCTGGTGTATCCACACCTTGAAGTCATTTTCACAGCCGAGTTGCGTCGCCCCCGTCCCCAGACTCTGGACGCATATCTTGCTCGTACCCACCTTGCCTTCCAGATGCTGCCCGACCCAGACAACGAGAACGCCGCGAGGGTCGAGCCCTGTCCGTGCCCATGTCCGGACCACAGCGCGTCGGTCGACTGGAATAAATTGATGGCGACGAGCCGTGCGCAGCAGGTCATGGAGGGGGTTCCTCTCTTTGCGTTCTCGGATGTCGAGGACTTTCGCGGCCTACACCATCACCGCGTGTTTGCAGTCACGATCAATGGGATCACCTTGCTCTACAAACCGGCCCGGAACAACGCCTGTCTGGTTGACGAGGCCGAAATGCTGAGGAAAGTGGCCGCGTTGCCGAGCGGAGGAGTCCTGCGCGTGCCCAAGCTCGAAGGGATCCTGGGGGCGGGTACGCCGTACGCGGGGATTATCATGACCTATATCCATCCGGGGACCCCGTTGTGGGATCTGGTCGAATCGGGGCGAGTGGAAGACCCAGCCGAGTGCCAGAAGTGGTTGGCTCAGATCTCGACCGCTGTTCGAGCCCTGCAACAGCATCGGTGTTATGTGCGAGACCTCCAGCCGGGCAATGTGGTGGTCGACGGCAACCGCGATGCTTGGCTGATCGACTTCGAAGGTATTCGGGGGCAAAGGGCCGAGGAATTTCCGGATGATGACCCCGAAACTGCAGACCTGCGTGACTTGGCCTACATGCAGGCGTATCTGGAGATGCACGGCCGGAAAGCACGCGAGGCAGCACGCCCTGGCCGCCAAGTCAGGACTTGGTTTGGTCGCTTGCGCAGGCGTCTGTCCGGTCCCTTCTTCCGCAAGCATTTCTTGGTTCCTTTCAGCCTCCTGGTCGCTCTTCTGCTCGTTCACTGCCTCGGCCTTTGGCCTGGCCTCTCTAGCCGCCTGTTCGCCAACTTGCCCACGCTACTGTGCGCTCTCTTCTGCCTTCGCCTATCTGCTTTCCTGTTCAACCGGGTGTTCTGATCTGCTGATGTTTCTTGCCCCACCCGCGCCCCCCTCCCTCCACGCACCTCCTCTTCTTTGCTATCGTCTTTGCTCTTTCGGTTTTGGATGGATACGAAAACAACCCAATTGACAGAAAACCTGTACAAAGCGGCCGGGGGCCGTGGTCATAGTGCATGTAAGCCCGTTCCGCCCACATAGCACCCCTCTACCATTGCCTCTACAACGTTCAATGTCACTGTCATCTAGTACCGTGTGCACCTCGTAGGAATTTCGATCCTTAGTCCAGCTCTGCCCAACGTGATTCCTGCGCGGGATGCCAGAAAGCCCCTGTGGCTCCTGTGGCTGTGGAACAGCTTTTCCACCACTGCACTAGCCACGGGAGCCACCGGGGCTCTTGGCAATCGATGTGCCGGAGAGTCACCTTGTCCTTTCAGTATCTTCATGAGCCTTACCTACTCCTATACAAATGTCTACCTAGTATGTATTGATTCCTTACAGTCTGAATTCTGCAGCTGAGGGGACCTGCAGTCGTACTGCCGCCGCTCTCTCAAACCCCTCCGCTATCCGGCGAACTACGGAGTACTGAGTAGGTAAGTTGAAGATCCAGCCTGGAGCCCAGGTACACAGCCCACCAACCAATCCACCCCCACTAATCTCCGACCCACAACCCCACCACTCAAGCTGCATACAGAAAAAAAACACCTCTCCCCGGACATATCCCACTCTTCTCCCCAACAATCACCTCCAGCATCCCCACTCATCTATCCTATACCAAAATATCATCACCATCATCACCACAACCACAAACCCCAAAATGCCACCGCCACCACCACCCTCCACAAAAACCTTCACCCACTCCCCGACCCTAGACCCGTACACCCTCCCCCTCCCAACCTTCCTCACCACCCCACACCACCCCCACCCCCACACCCTCACCCGAACCACGCACATCGTAACCGGCGCCTTAATCTTCGCCCCGAACCGTTCACCACCACCACCACCACCATCAACAACAACAACAACAACAACAACAATACTCCCCACTCAACCCCCCGAAAAACAACGCATCCTCCTCCTCCGCCGCGCCCCAACCGACTCCTACCCGGGCCGGTGGGAAGCCCCCGGCGGCTCCTGCGACGCCACCGACGGCTCCGTCCTCGCCGGCGCGGCCCGCGAGGTGTACGAGGAGACGGGGCTGCGGGTCTCACGGTTCCGGGCGCTGGTCGGGGTGGATGCGTGGGAGGTGGTGCGGGCGGATGGGGTCCGGAAGGTGGTCAAGTTTACGTTTCTGGTGGAGGTGGAGCCTCCCTCCGTGACGCGATCGGGGGGCGAGGGGGTGCAGGGGGAGGAGGTTGATGGGCGGGTGAGGGTGGAGGGTCATGGTGATGGTGGCGGACGGGGCGGAGGGATCAGGCTCGAGCCCGCCGAGCATGATGCGTTTGTGTGGGCGACGGAGGAGGAGGTGCGGGCCGGGGTGGTTTGGTGGCAGGGGGAGAGGGTGGGGATGGAGTTTGTGGGGAGGCAGCGGGGGAATTATCTACGGGGGTTTGAGGTTGTGAGGGCTTTGCGGGGGGGTTTGTGAGTTGGTGGAATTTGGGAGGGGAGGGGGTGGGTAGTGATGGATGGATGTTTGGATTTGTGAAGGGGATGGATGGTTGCAGGTGGGCTTGGTTTGAGGGGTGTGGTTGGGGATATTGTCCTTACCCTAATCTGTGATGGAATGCTCGCCTAATGAGAAAATATAGGTCGATTGATATTTATACAGTTATTTAATGAAACAAGGGAACTATCTACTCGTTGTGTTCATCGACTTCGTCATGTCCCCTTCCACAAGGGCAATCGCGGCCCAAGATCGGTTCCTCCCAGTCCTCACCGACCCAATAGTCCTCCAAATCGATGTCATACTCCACCCAATCGTGAACCTCCCATTTTTCCCACACCGTTGTATCCTGCACTAGTCACTCCGACCGAGTGGTGTTCGTCGTCTCGAACAGCACGCGCTTGTAGGTCGTCAGCGGGATCGCGCCGTGGTCGGTGACCTCCAAGACGAGGTGGAGGGTCCAGCAGCCGGAGGCGTTGGAGCTCTTGCCGTCGCAAACCACATCCGCGCCGGGAATCGTGACCTGTGCACGCTGTCCGTTCCCAGAAACTGTGAAGTTCAACGTCGGGATCTGGTTGTCCACGTTCCAATCCGTCGAGCCGGGCTCCTTGTACTGGAACCACCGGAACGAGAGGCTGTCACGGTCGGGATCGTAAGTCCCGGACGCATCCAGCGTCACGGTCGCATTGGGCGTCGAGGCGATGACCAGCGGGGTGAGGTCGGCATGCTCGTTGACCACGACCACAGGGTGGTGGTTGGCCTTGCTCTCGTTGGCGGGGAGGGCCCACTGCATGCGGGCGGCAAAGTCATTCTGATACGCGTCTCTCCACCGCCAGATAGCCGCGTGGTTGGAGGTGTAGGTCCGGTTGTTCTGGCCGATGACCCGGTCGGCGGCGTCGCTGTACTGCCGGTACTTCACCTGCTGCGAGAGATCCACCAGGGAGTAGCGGCCGCCCCAGGATCCGTAGTCGGGCTGCTCGCGCACGCCCAGACCGTTCTGGATGAGATACAAGAACGTCGGGGTGTCCCCCTCCATGATGAACTTGTAGTCCGGGTACTCCTTGCCGTAGGTCCCGATCTGGATGTTCTTCTTCAGCCAGGCGGCGGACACCTTGGTGAAGTCCGGGCCACCGACGTCGAAATTGTAGTATTCCTCGCCGGAGATGGCGGCCCAGGCGGCCAGGCCGTACTGGTTCCAGCCGTGCATGGAGGCGATGTAGAAGATGTCAGGGAATTGCTCCCGGATCCACAGACCGCTGTCGTCCTGGTCGGAGATGGTGTAGACGCGCAGCTGGCCGCGGAGACGGGCCGCCTCGGTCGCGTTGAAGTTGTGCTGGATGTAGTACAGGGTCTCGGCAAGCACGTTCACCCCGCCCCACCCGAGGACCCACAGGGGTTCATCGACCGGTTGGCGGAGTCGGTTCAGCAGCAGCTCTGCGCCGGAACTGAGGTTTTGGCCGGGACCAACGCCTTGCATTCCGTAAACCTGGATTTGATTAGTGGGGTTCGTGTAACGACGGATGGAATGCTTACAGCTGGGCCGGACTTGACAACACTGTGGAGGTACTCCGCTGAGGGGTATGGGGAGGACGGTGAAGTGTGCTGGTTCAGGTTGTCCACCACCTCGGCATATGCATCGACCACTGCCGAGATCTGCTCGGGATACACACTGTCTTTCAGCCAGGTGGAAGTGACGGCCGTCATGCCTTCGATCTGGAACTGATTGCTGTAGAGCAGGAATCGCACAAAGGATTCTGTGTCATCGGGCTCATTGGAGATGTCCGAGAGAACGAAGACGCGGGGCTTGGACGCATAGGTCAGAAGCGAGGAGCGGTTAACGGCCGTAGTGGCGTCTGCCACAAGGGCATTCAGACAACCAAGCAGCAGCAGAGAGAGTCGTCTCATGATTGCAACGTATTCAAGAGATGTGACTTTGGAGAAGAAGCAGCGATCAAAAGTCCCAGTGAGAAGGTGGGAGCCAGGCCGGTTTATATGGGAGTTGCGGGGACGGCAGAGAACAAGTTCTTGGCAGTTGAGAAGGACAGATGGCAATGAGTCGAACTGATGATGTTATTGCCCGTTGTATAGGGACACTGAGCCTGGGGTATCCACCGCCTTGCCGGATTGAGCCAAGCCGCAGCCGAGCCGACCGACGGAGGCGAGTTTTCGGCTCCAGCCCAGTCTCCGCACTCCGCAACTTCCCTCGTCTGCCTTGCCGTTTCTGCCGTTTCTGCCGGTTCTGCCCATTTTCCCCGACTCTTTCGGCTGGGTGTGGGGTAGTCCCCCCATAACAGGTAGTTCTAACCCCCAGCCAGCGGTTGCAATTACCCCATTAACTCGGCACAGCGAGAGCTCGGAGACGATTCTCCACGGGGTTCTTCCCACTCGTACGGGTATGACCCTGATTTCCACCAGTTTCGCTCTCCATAATTGCACTCATGCAAGGCAGGAAACTTCCTTCCATCTCCACAACAAAAGTTGGCTCCCCCCGTTACCGCTATGACGCGATGAGCCCCAGTACAGAATTCGCACAGAAACCACCAGCCACGGGTGCCCGTCACCGCAGACATTCTCTGCCTCGATCCGCAAAACCCGCGTCAGTGAAAGCGAGCTGTCTCCGGTCGGCGAAAAACGGCTTGTCGTGGGTTCCGCAACATAGCACCAAAATCTGCACCTCTCCAGTTGCAAGGCTCATCGAGGAGAACACAAGTGTACCTTTTCATCCGCACAGCCTGATTTTCCGCCGGTCCCAATGCCCAAGATTGAGTATGCCTTGGGCATCGAGCGCACCCTGGTCGTGCATCGTCAAGGTCATCGGTATCCCGAAGTCTCCCGCAACCACGCGAGATTTTCCGTCGAAGGCGTCCCGACAACACCGGTAGCGGAGAAGGCGGACGGGACCCTGCATAAGGTCGTACGGCGGCACGGAAGACGTATTCGTATCTCTAACCAGAATGGGAATAGATCATAAAGTCACTGATGGAACTCAAGGGGTGGCCTCAAAAGTCTCGTGTCAGACGCTTGGCCATGCATGGAAACAGTATTGGTCATGGGCCTTGGACCTCAGATTCGACAGAACGTGAGGTGAGGCCTGGCTGCAGAGCAGGGTGCTGTTATCACCACGGTAATTGTTGGCCTCGGTGGTGCCGAAACATCGGGTGAGGGTTTCTTGGCAAGCGTGTTATTCTTGGCAAGGTTGGTGAGACTGATCTCAATCTCTCCTGGCTGTCGGAAGTGGTGTTCTGTACCGGCTGCTCGTGTTGCATGGTTGTTTGGTGGTCGGGATGTGGATGAATGCTGTAGGGGCCCAAGCGTACTTATAAGCTGAAAAGAAAAGAAAGAGGAAGAGGAGTACTGAGCAAAGCTAGGGAGGGCGAGCTAGGTGAGAAACAGACTGCAAGGAAGCCGTAGGTGTGAAAGGGGTTAGACGACAGTATAATGGTAGCAGCATGGTGGGCGGGTGTAGCGGTGCTGACAGTAGTTATACCTACGAGCAGCTTGCTGGTACCAATTAAGACTCTCCAGTCTTTCCGTTTCAGAACGCAACCTTCCTGCATGGTTCAAGGGTCATCTCTAAGCCGGTTCCATTCAGGCAGGCTTGGCAGAGTGGACGGTCGGGCTCGGGGGTACAACGTCGTGTACGTGACAGCTTGGGCATATATAGAACACACTCCTGCATTCAAGTACTTAAAGTTGCCTCCCTTCTCTTGTCCACTGTGTTGTACAACTCTGAAACCATCAATTCACCTTCGATGACATCTGAACTCAAAACCATCATCAAACACGGCCGCCACTTAGACCTAAGTAGTGGCTCCTCTGTGTCCAAGCACTCCTTTATTTTCGTTGGGATGGGTCAATCCTTTAAGATCAGGTGCCCGGACCACGGAGTACATTTCGCCCAGTTATAACACGATTGCTCACCAAGCACCATGCGCCCTCGGGCCTGACTCATCGATGATAAGTTAGTCACGCAATTTCTTCGGCCCTCGGGAGCGTCCGCAGTACTTCCCTCCAGCACGTGGCTGTGATAGGCGATGCCACCATATCATTCTATGGCACCGCACCATGGATCTGCAGGAAAATGTTGATCTTAGGCCGACGATCATCCCGACCCATATGGACGAGATTTGAATACCATGCACATCCCCAGTCAATGACAAAATTCATGATGTTCTTGCAGTGTCCCTGTGTTGCTGTTCTATCATATTTTGCAAGTCTCGAAACTAACCTAAGCACTAAAACCCCGGTCGCATCTGTCTCAAAAGGACTGGAGTCCCTGCACTAAGCCAAGGGTCTCGTTTTTGGGTTTCCAGCGGCTGGTTGTTTTTCGTCTCGGCTGAACTCCGGAGTTTCACGAACCCTACCGTTTCATGGTTCAGGGCTCGAACGTTGATCTCCGCCTCAAACTCAATTTAGGTTCTTTGAGCTCCATTCCCCTTCGATGAAGCGCCAATTGCTCCACATCCATCGGGAAACCAACCCGCTTCGAGTCTCGATCAGGGTCCGGACCCTGCCGCTTTGGTTTTCTCGTCCGTGCATCTGAAACAACTCCCTTCAACAGGGAATGCCTTCCAGACTTCCGTCAGAAAATGTTTCACCACGTCCCAATTTTGCGACATCTTTGCTTTTGCGTGCCAAAGGGATGCGATGTGTCAGTTTGATAGATAACAGCTGAATCCGCAATGCCGAGGTAGCCGGCCGTTGCTGCCTGGGAATAACAGTATATATCCATCCTGGTTCTCCCAGACTTTGACGGCTAAAGCAGACGAGGCAGCAGCGCAATTCTATCATATTCACTCTTTCGTTACAGTCTATCGATACACTCTTTCACTTACCATCCTCTCGTTCAACCATAACTTGTATCTCATTGGAATAATGGCCCCTCTCAAGTCCCTCCTCGTTGGTGCCCTTGCTACGCTGGCCGTAGCAAGCCCCGTCCCTGCCCCTGCCACGGAGGCCGGCCAACTCCAAACCCGTCAGTTCATGGACTCGAATGATCTCACGTCCGGCTCCTGCAAGGACGTCACCCTGGTCTTTGCTCGTGGCTCCACGGAATTGGGTAACATGGTAAGTAGCGCCCTGCCCCTTAGATCCTGCTCTTCCTCCCTCCTTCGCACTCTACAACGCATCCCCAGAAGCTGACCCACAAAACAGGGTTCCGTCATCGGACCTCCCCTCTGCACCGCCCTGAAGTCCAAGCTTGGCGCCGACAAGGTCGCCTGCCAGGGTGTCGGCGGCCTCTACACCGCCGGACTGATGCAGAATGCCCTGCCGCAGAACACCGACCCGGGGGCCATCTCCGCGGCCAAGAGCATCTTCGAGCAGGCGGCTTCCAAGTGTCCGAACACGAAGATCGTGGCTGGTGGATACAGGTATGCATCTCCCTGGTTCTTGGCGATCTTCCGAATCAAGACACGCACCCTGCCGCGAACCTATGGTCCGACATGGCTAATATCCCCGGTCAAACAGTCAAGGAAGCGCCGTCATCGACAACGCGGTGCAGGCGGTCAGCTCCTCCGTGCGCGACCAGATCAAGGGCGTGGTGCTGTTCGGGTTCACCCGCAACGTCCAGGACCACGGCCAGATCCCCAACTACCCCAAGGACGATGTCAAGGTGTACTGCGCGATGGGCGATCTGGTCTGCGACGCGACGCTGATCGTGACGGCCGCGCATCTGACCTACGGGCTGGATGCCGGCGATGCGGCGAACTTCTTGGCGTCCAAGGTCAACGCTTGAGTGCTTTGTCGGTGTCACAACGCTTAGGAACCATCGGTGAGATCGGGTGATGGTCAATGGAGGATGATTTACGGGCTTTTATATATCAATCTTTTTTTCGGCTTTTTATTTTTCGCTGGCGATTTTCAGGATTGTCATGGACACTCCGATGTTTTATCTCACGGGTATATTATACATTTCTTCATCATTTCGTCAAACCCCAGGTGATGTGTTTGGGCAGTAGATGTGGCGTAGGTTCTATACTGTAAAACATGTCAATCAGAGCAATCTAATGAGTGCAGGTTGTTGATAGGTTCTGGCCCAGATTTGTAATCTTATGTACCCGATCAAGAATCAAGTTACCTGCCGCCACTGTATACGGATTCGTCTCGTCAATACTGATATTGATAGATGCCTTTTCACCAAAACCAGAAAAGACTCCTTCTTTCCAACAGAGACTCATATATCCTACGGTAACTATCATAGTTTTGGATGAGGAAGATAGGTCTGTGCCGAGAACTTGAGTAATCGCATTCTCTCTGGGCTTCTCCAGGCTCTCTCCGCAAAGAGCCGGAAATAACGCTCCGGAGCGGAGTTAAACTTCCGTGCCCGCGGCGCTTTGAGAACCCGGGATGACACGAGGGTCCGTGGCTCTTGATTAGCCCCTTGGGCTCACCGCCCGTAGGTTTCCGCAATAGCACTCAGATGAGTGGATGCCCTAGGCTCCGATGCCAGGTGCCCACAGTGGTGTGTCCATGCGCGTCATCATTCGAGAACATTTACGAGATCGTGAACCAACTCACATAGCCACCGGGAGCTCGTGCTTTTCAGCTGATCACCGGAGTCATACGATATTGTAGACCAAATCAAGAGCCACGAGGGACCAAAAGAGATTAGCAGGTGCTGTAAAAGGATATTGATCGGTTGATGGGCGATCGGCGGATATAGGCCCCACTCTGGAGATAAAGCGGAAGTACTACTGTAGATGAGTGTCATCAGCCAGCGATAGCACCTGTCCGTTCCAGGTCAACCCGCAACTAAATACGGCTCTAGGGGTGAGGCTGGACCTTGGAATGTCATCCGGGGTTATGTGGTCTAGTGGTTCTGGGACTGTGTGATCTATGGTTCGGCACTGTACACTGTGGAGTTAAGCGGGAATAGAGGTGTCATCAACCAGGAACTCTAAAGCCCGGGTGGTCAACCATACAGTTGGGTCTGCCCAAGCACGGTATAAAATCGAACGTAGATTCCTGGCTTGAGGGTTTTAAGATACGTCTTTCTCATATTCAATATTCTGTACATCCTCATCAACAGCCATCGACCCTCCAACAACCAATCTACCACCCGTGACCGCAACCATGACCTCCAAATACGCCGCTGCCCATGCATCCCCCAACGGCCCAGGCGACGCCCGTCCCACGGCGCAGACCATCATCGACGATCAAAACCTCCGCGACAAGCTCACGGGCAAAACCATTCTGATCACAGGTTGCTCCTCGGGGATCGGCGTGGAGACCGCGCGCGCCCTGCACACGACCGGCGCGACGCTCTACCTGACGGTGCGCGACACCGCGAAAGCGATCAAGAACCTGGGCGACATCGCCAGCAGCCCCCGGGTGCGTCTCCTGCACCTGGACCTCGACTCGCTGGACTCCGTGCGCGCCTGCGCGGCAGACCTGCAGTCGCGCACCAGCGCCCTGCACATCCTGATCGCGAACGCGGGCGTGATGGCGTGCCCCGAGGGCCGGACGGCGGACGGGCTCGAGGTGCAGTTCGGCAGCAACTACGTGGCCCACTTCCTGCTGTTCCAGCTGCTGAAGCCGCTGCTGCTGGCGTCGTCGACGCCCGCGTTCCACTCGCGCGTTGTCATGGTGTCGTCCGTGGGCCATCGGTTCGGCAACGTCCACCTCGACAATCTGAACTTGGAGGGCGGGGAGTACGAGCCCTGGAAGGCGTACGGGCAGAGCAAGACCGCTGTGGTCTGGCTGGCCAATGAGATCGAGCGGCGGTACGGGGCCCAGGGCCTCCATGGTCTCAGTCTGCACCCCGGCGGCATCCAGACCGACCTGGCGCGCCACATGTCCGAGGACCAGATTGCGGCGTGGAATGCCGATCGCGAGTTCATGCGCCACTTCAAGAGTCCCGCCCAGGGCGCCGCCACGACCGTTGTGGCGGCTGTCGCGGCGGAGCTGGAGGGACAGGGTGGGAAATATCTGGATAATTGCCAGGTGGTGACGGATGAGCACGACCCGGCTAGCGGGAGGTGGGGCCCTGGGTATGCGTCCTGGGCGTTTGATGTGGAGGGGCAGAAGAAGCTGTGGGAGAAGACGATGGATATCCTTCAGCTGCAGGATGAGTGAGTGGTACGGTACTCGGGCTAATCATCGTGATTTGTTGATTGCTGTGGGGGTTTACTGTTGTCGCACCAAAGACCATCTTCGGATATGAGATATTGCTGTTTATGTTCGAAGCGGAAGCAAGTTATCGCAATTTGCTTGATTAGTATAGCGAAGATAATGTATAATCTAGTTGCTGTTCTGACTGTGACATCTTTCCTTTTGGGTTTGTAGCAGGAACTACGCGATGTGAATGGGTGCCTTTATTCGAAAGATTTCGGCTTTTCAAAGCAACGGTTCAGTTACACTTAGCTTCATTTAATACCTGTGGTTCATTCGGGCCAGTGCATATAAATTCCATTGAGATAAATACAAATACACACGTGGACGTTCTTGAAATATCGATTGCACGCAGTGAGAGTGCACAGTTCATTCCAGGAAGTGCACCACTGGGTCACAAATTGAGGTAATTCCTAAGACTCAAGTTGATTCTATGCGATGACGCAATATAATTCATGACCGCGTTTAGAAGATCTAGAACGGTGGCTTGAGATCACTTGAGCTTAATCACCGCATTGGTGTTGACAGCAAGTGTATGTGTAACTCAGAGCAGGCAATCTATGCATGAGCTGAGTGATATCGCCAGCCGCCAATCGGTAAGCCCGGGGTCCACGCGAGTACGACAGGTCGGATGGTCAGCAGCCTGCATCAGTGTGAACTTTGTTCCAACAACATTCTCAGGTACTGTACTAAACTACTTAGCTCAAGTTAGGAGGGGAGACAATATCATTAACTTAGTGGATGTCTCTTAGTGTGTGTCTCTTAAGCTTTCACCATGGGGTACTAGGGGCCCGCACTTGCCCAGTATCTTTTGCGCCAGCCAAGTAACACCAGACCACGTCTGTTATGTCCCTCCTCAACCCAACTTCCCCACCGCCCACCATGCGTCTGGCGCTCACATCCCCACGGCTATCTCGACTGCCACGGCTGAGCTCAGCCATTGCTCCCCTCTCATGTGTTCGATATCTAAGCAAAATGGGTAGAAATGATCTGATCGAAGAGCAAACTTTACCGTACTACCATCAGAAGCGATACTATCCAGTCCGCATCGGTGACACCTTCAAGGATCAGTATCGAATCATTGCTAAGCTTGGCTACGGCGCGTATTCCCCCGTGTGGCCCGCTTGGGATGAAGGGTTTCTGGGCACGAAACCCCAACATTGGCCCTTCATCGGCCCACACCAGAAGGCCGGCAGCCACGCGACAATCAGCTTAGGCATCAGGTGCCCAGTCACACAACTCACGCAGCTCCTTCATCGACCCCCTTTGCACCCGCCCACCTCCGCTGCCGAAAAGCTTGATGTGATAATGGCGCGCGGCCTCCGGTCATCCGCGCTGCTAGGCATCTGGGCCGTGGCATTAGCTGCCTGGGGCATCAACACGACTGCATTCTCCTCCGGAGTGAACAAGAAACCAATCTTTGGTTTTTGGGCTCGTCGCAGCGAAAGTCTCCCTGGCCTCCATACTGCTGACGCAGCCGAGTGCGCATGAGGTGGTTGGTAGAGTCTAATACTACCGGCAGTGTTCGTGCTTGCAGTGTCAGCCTGACCACCGCTGCAGGCTCTATCCTTCCATTTCTAGCACCGTGCCTACCTATTTGAATGTTGACTCAATCCTATTTAGTAACTACCTACCGTTGACTCAGTTTCCACTACATCGGTCCAGTCAGTTCGCTCAAATCACCCATCCTTAACAACTTTGAGATAACTAAAATATTCTTCCATCACAAATCTGATTATTACCGCCATCCACTCACTCATAAGCCATTCATCCGAACACCTACCCAAAATGGCAGCAGTCTCCTCGCCCGAGCAAAACATGATCCGCAGCTACGTGACAATCAGCCTGCTCATCATGAGTCTCACGATGCGTCTCGCGCAGCTCCTCCACACCCACGCCACAGTCGGTCTCGATGTGCCGCTTGTGCTACTTCCCGCATTGTCCTTGCTCGTTGCATGGATCGGATCCTTGATAGTCTTCGGTGGTGGCAATCTAGCTCCGCTCTCCAGCCCGACCAGAAGTCGATCGCTTATTCTTGCGCTCGCGGCGGCGGACCTCGCGCTGGCCTACTTGAACGCCCGACAGCCTAATGCGTCGGCGCTGGCCTATATCTCCTGTCTTGTGTCGTTGTTTCAGTTGGGGCTGGACTTGGGACTGTTCATTTGGATGAAGGACTGAGTTCGTACCGGCGGGTGGATTGTATCAGGTGAGAGGGGTTGCCCTTGGCGCTTCTATACTTAAACTGAACGGAGTTTTGCTTTGCTTCTGCATGTACGCTAAAAGGGGGGAGTGTTTCAAGGACGCGTGGGAGCAACTTAGCTAGGCCGGATGGATTTATGGAGGAGGTTGTTCATTCAGAGAATATTTTTGTCTGTTGGTGTGTGTTCTTTTTTGTCTCTTTTTGCATGTTTCCTCTTCCTCTTTCTGAAGGCGTCAAGAATCCTTAAGAATAGGTTAGTCTAGGTGTACTTGCTATCAGTATGATGCTCTCTTCTGTCCAAACAACCAACCCAAAATGTGAAGCATCTGTCGAGCCATACACCTGGACAGAACTATTACATACTACCGACCTCACAAGCTCCCCTTAACCACCCCCAGCCCCGCCACACGCGACCCATCCCTCGTCCGCATCACCCCGAACATCACCTCGAAATCCCTCAGTTTATCCGGCACATTCTCGCGGCCCCCAAAGCACCCCCGCACCGCCAGACCATCCAACCGCTCACGCCCGCGCGTCGCACACAGCGTCTGGAACAAGCCCGTCGTGCGCGCCGAGATGCCGTTCCGCACGAGCGCGTGCCCGCCCGGCCATGGCCAACGCAACGAAGTACGGGGTGACCAAACGCGCCGGGTGGGGGAAGCGGTAGACGTTGACGGTGATGGTCTTGGTGACGGTGGTCGTGGTCGTGGCCTGGAGGAGGGTGAGCAGCGAGAGGGTGATGTTTTGTAGTAGCGACTGCAGGGCGGCCGGGGTGAGGGTGAAGACGGGCTGCTTGGCGGGGCCGCGGTAGAGGCTCGTCAGGGCGATCAGGGTGTTGGCCGCTGGTTGGGAGTGTAGCACTATTTATTTCCGGTATCCAGTCAGTAATCGGAACTATCCAGAAAGGTATCACCGATTCACAACAGCAGTGGGAGGCTCGCACCGAATATATCGATATACCCCGCCCACTCCAGCACCAGCGTATCCTGCACCGCCGCCAGACTCGCCCGCCGAGACTGCTCCGTCACATTCTGGCCCGTGGTTCCGGTCGTCGTGGCGTTGAACACGGCGAAACGGTCGTTCGACGCCAGCACCATGGCGAAATCATCGTAGAGGCCTCAGCTGTTCAGTGTGCCGCCATCGAAGGTTACTGTTGCTACTGTCGCCTGCTGCACGTCCCCCGTGTACTTTAGGTGCACCGTGTAGACGGCCTCGTGCGCGCGACACGAGATGCTCTGTTACGTGCCTCCCGTTGTGGGGTCCACCCGGCGCAGCGCGAAGTCGAATGCGTATTTGGTGCTCCTCGTGCGCGCACGGTAGTTCGGTGAGGCGAGGTAAATGTATGCGTTTGTCCATGTTAGGCTCTGCTTGTAGGTTTTGTTGACCCAGGTGTGGAGGTTCGGAGCGTCGGTGGATGTGCATGCGAGGCGGGAGCTGGGGATTTGGATTGTGTATGAGCAGTTCGAGGAGCAGGGGGAGCTGCTGCGCAGGTAGTCGCCTGCCATCATGCACTGTCGCGCGAGGCGGGTGTGGGGCGAGGCAAGTTAGAGAGAATGAAAATGGGGAAGGAGTCGACGAACTGGCAATGGGTTGAATAAGGGTGCATGGGGGCTTGAAAACCAAGCCAGCCTATACGAAGCCCACAGACACTAGAAACCAATTCCTTGGGGCAACCAACCGGTGCGTGACTGAAGCATATATGAGGCAGATGAGCAAGCCTTCCTTCCAATCTCCTGTTAATCGTATGTGCCTTTTTTTTTTTTTTTTTTTTTTTTTTTTTTTTCTTGCAAGACAGCTATGCGGCTGTGCAGGGTCCATTCTCGAACCGAGCAATCCAATTGAATCATCGCTCCTCTACGGGATTTCTAAATATGGATCTCTGCAGGGCATGGTTCAGGTTGCTGACAACGCACGCTATAATTGGCATAATGCAGATAAAGGCTGCGAAACGGGGGCTGAGTTGAAGTGTGCGGATCCACCTATACTGTCACCGCCTATCTGCGGGTATCGTGAAGAGCACAGACAGCCAATAGGATGAAAATGCTCAGATGACAGACTTGAACGTTCCTGCAGGATCGGAGGCTGAAAGTGGGGACGAATCTACAAGGAGGATATCCGTGGGTTCTATACCAAGCTGCACGCTAGTCTAAATAAGGCAAGCCATGTGTAAAGAAGAATATCAAGACCTCATCGAGACTCTCGACGATACAAGGACTTTTCGCCTATAAGAAGACCGTCGATTCCTCCGCTCAATTGTCCAGATCCGACTCACAGAGCAGCAACAGCAGCAGCAGCAGCAAGCCCAACCTCCAACTTCCTCAGCAATCAAGAAAGCAACCATTCTCAAACCCTCAAATTCATTCCATCAAGGTAGATCCCTCATAATTTCGTCCTTCTCCCATTCCACCAGCACAAAGACCTAATTGAAAACAATACACCAGCGAAATGATGTCCCCCAGCACCATTGCCTACCTCTTCTCCACCGCGCTCGCCGTGCTTACCCCCCTCGCCGCCGCCAAAGGCTGCTACAGCGGCGGAGAGTCGTACAGCTCTGTCGCCACCGGCCACGAAATCCTCGAGGAGGCGGTAAATGCCTGCGACATCCTCGAGGGCATCTACGTCTCTGGCGCCAGCCGTCCCCACTGCAGCAATTTCCAGTCGGGCAACCGCGTCAACTGGGAGGTGACCAACGAATCCGGCTCGAAGGCCATTCTTTCCTCCATTGACTGCGTCGCTGCCTTGAGAACCGAGATTGAGGCCTGCCCGCGCGGTAGTCTTCAGACTTACGGTCCCTTCTTGATTAAATACGACCCCAACGCGGGCGCTTGCTAGAGGGTTGGCTGAGTTGTGCATCAGAGCGAAGCGGATCGTGTTCGGGCGGATGCAGATTGTCGATGCGGTGGATGGGTGATGATGGTCTAGCGGATGGCGAAGATGAGGCGATTGAGTTGATGAGTTGATGACGGAGATGAGATGGATGTGTTTACATGTATGCACTTGATATCATTCTTGCACGGTCTCATTGTGAGTTTGGCCTTTTGTCTCTCTGCTTGAAGTTCGCTCGTTGGGACTCTCAAGCCGAACTCAACATGGATGCTTTTTTCTGCCAGTTCTCGGTTTGTAAGACCGTGTATCCCGCCAATGTGATCTGGCCTAAATCCACGGTCCACCTCTAATCCTGTGCCTTTTACGCTGCACACGTTGCTAAGCCTGAGCCAAAAGTCGAAATTTCTGTTGATGTTCATGGCTTTCATACCTCCTCAACTTCTACATAATAGGAGGCCTTGCTATGTCTGGGATACAATATTGCTCCACTGGCATGCCTTCGCCTCTCGACAGTAACCGACAGTAACCAGCCTTAATAAAAGTCTCTGCTCTAGCTGGAGAATCTGCATAAGCAAGATAACCATGGTACAATAACATAGCTGTCAATAGGCCTCGTGCACTCGTCTCGTGAGACCATGATCTCATCCCTCCCAAGCTTGTGCCGTCTACCTCTCCTCGGGTCAGCTTCGTGGCCGATCAAGGGTTGCCTTCACTTAAATGTAAGCTCACAGCGCCATACGTTGGCTGAATTAGGGATAGGTATATGTGCCTCTGCTCGCCTTCCATAATCTTCGGCCAGGTTAGACGTCAACAGCAATACATTCGAGACTGGCAAAATAGCAGGTAGGTTCAATCTAAAATCAAGCTAGCCTGATTCATCTTCCCATTATCAAGAGCTCGGCCTCTGCTCGACTCGAACAAGAAGCGGCGCCCGTCTCCATACCTCCCATGCTTTCTGGCCGGACAACCACTCGTCAACATCGAGCTCGGAGCTGATGTCGAAATGCCAGAGGAGGCTGCACATCAACAGCCGCAACGTGTAATATGTCATACTTCGGCCACCGGTTAAGTCAACATGGGATCAATTATCAATGTGGCCACTGTGAAAGGAGAGCGTGAGAGGGAAGAAACATGAAAAGACACTCACTCTTGTCCAATACAGGACCTCTTTCCGACGGAGAAGGGCTGCAGCGCGGCTCGACAATCACCGGCATACAATCCGTGCGGATCCTCAAGCCACCGATCTGGCTCAAATCGATCCGCGTTGTGGAAATACTCGCTCGCATTCGACGTGGCGTACATAGATACATACACCCGAGTGCCGCCTGGGACCCACTGACCGGCGACGAGGGTGCCTCCGGGGCCGACAACGCGAGGCAGGATCTCTGGCACCGGATTGTATCTCCGAAAGGCTTCTTTAATGCACGCATCCAGGTATTTTAGTTTGCGGACGTCGGCGATCGAGATGAAACTCGGATCGGAGATTGTCGCGCGCACCTCGGCCGTCAGGCGCTGAAGGACGTCGTGGTGGCGCAGGAGGTCCGCGACAAGACTACTCAGAAGGCAAGAGATGGTCTCCGTGCCGGCGAGCATCAATATAGGGGTATTCAGCGTCACCTCCTCCTCCGAGATACGGTCCGCCTTCGGGAGGGACGTGGCGAAAGCCACCAGGTCGGGATCATGGACGTCTTTGTGGAGGCGTTGACGCATGAGCTTGTTCGCGAAATCAAAGTATCTCTTTCTTGGCTCCTGAATAGCCGCACGGAGAAGCCATTGGTATATGCCCTTGACGATCGGAAATTCAGTGAGCGCAGCCGCGGTCACCGAAGCGCGAATCCAACCTGGCTGGCCCCTCGCCCAGTCAATGCAGCCAGACTTTTCGAGCAGTTGGAGGGATTGGCCAAAGAGAAGATGACCCATCACGTCGAAGACCGTGAAGCTGAACAGTTCAGCAATGTCAAATGCATTCTGCTCCGTTGTTTCGAGCCGCCGAACCAAAAGAGCGGAATACTTATTGAACAGTGGCTCGAAGGCTGTCAGATTCTGTCTCGCAAAAAATTGTGCGAAAACCCGCCGGAATCGGGCATGAGTGTCTTCGTCCGCGGTCAGGATTGTGGCTTTGTCATTCTCGAATGCGGCGAACACGATATCATCATTGAGTAAGTGTCCATTCGCATGAGCACCCCCGTAGATGTCTCTCACGGCTTCGTGCTTCATGTAGCTCAGCTCATTCGGCGCCACCCGGACAACGGGTCCGTATCGCTGGTGTAGGTTTTGCAGCCAGACGGACTTCTGCCCGGTGATGGTGACATACGTGATGCGGGCTCGGCTGGCAGCGGCCGTTGTAGGCCCGGGGTAAGCCTTCAGTGGGTGCCAAAGTACATTATAGAGCAATTGGAGAACAATCAGCTTTCAGGATTAGAATGAGCACCAGTTTGGTAAGGTTGTGGGGTTATTGCCATACAATTCCCAAAGCCAGTAGAGCAATCAGGATCATACTTATCAGGGGTGCGATGCCAGCCGCTGAGACGAATGCACTGCGATAGCTGCAAATGATTGATCAGTTGTTGAAGATAATAGTAAGAGCAGGAAAGTCTCGTCTGAGAATATTACTGAAACTAAACGGTAGTGAGCAGATCAACGAGTAGCTGGCCCCGCATATAAGACAATTGGTGGCAAGGGCTCTGCTAAGGGACGCATCTGATGTGTATAGGGGACTAACCCTGACAGGATATTGGTCACACTTGCAAAGAGATACGCTGTTTCTCTGAACCCATGCGAAGTGTAGATGATCTAAGAACCCACATTGATTTCGGAGAAGGCTGGCAGCTGCAGTATGATGTCAGCGGAATGCCAGAGAATGTAAGGAATAAACAGATGAAGTTCATCACAAGACTATTCACCATACACAAATTACAAGGAGACTGGGTAGAGAAAACACGACCACTTTCACAGCATGCAGCTGGCTGCTGCGCAAGAATCAAAAGAGCAATCTCTGAGAGTTGCCATAGTCGAGGGACATCTCCGAACTCAGGTTTTGTTTCATGACAGAATAGCGGTGACAGAATCGTCGATGAAAAGTATAGGGTCCGATTTGTACTGCAAATACATCGAGTATTCTTGCTATGTTGTTACACAAGAATTCTCACGGGCTGTGCTTAGCCAAACTTGGAAGCAAGTTACGTCACTGCTTCCCATGGTTTTCAGTAAATTGTTATACATATTTGGTATACCAGGTTAAGCAGATCACCGGGCAAGCACTTTCTGATAGTTTACTACCTTGAAACCAATGCTTACAAGCATCAGCCAGTCCCAAACGACTAGTTTCCCCTGTTATGTGAAAACTAGAGACTCCAAGGATCTGCGTGAACCTTTCACAGACTATGCATGCAAGGAGTCAGCGGGTACATGAGCGGAAGAGGTCCTCACATAGGCCGGATTGTGAACTCAGTTGGATGGCAGTATACTAGCTGCAGGAATATCCGGAAATATACAAATGTAAAAAGCTCCAGCATCAGCATGGTACCATCTATAAATGATTCCGCGTTCGTTCTACTACTCCGGTGTTTTGAGTTCAAGATGTCTATCGTCGAACAGAGACCCGGATCTTTCTTTCGCGGTTGCCCTGATACCAAACCCTTCAAAAGATGAGCAGCAATACGAGAATCAATATTCCCTTTAGACTTGCCACCAACGCAGATTTGGCTCGGGCAAAGGCAAATCATTCACAATGGGTCGAAACGGCAGGGCTACTCGGCGATCCAGCAGCCCAGAAAACGTACGAGGCTGCAGACTTTCCTCTTTTGGTGGCCTACACGTACCCATCAGTTCACGGACCTCATCTGGATCTGATAATGAATCTGATTGGCTGGTCCTTTTTACTGGACGACTCACTCGACAGACAAGGCATTCGACAAGCCTCCCCGGCGGCCACTGAACATACCCTGAACACTTATCGCAAGATACTGGATGGCAACCGTGCCGAGCCATCCGCGGATCCTCTGGTGACAGCTTGGAAGAGTCTTCTGCTGTGTGTCCATGAGCGTTCGTCCGAAGACCTGAAGGCCCGGCACCGCAGGCATTGGGAAGACTTGTTCGACGCCTTCCACCGTGAAGCGAAGAACAATGCCGGCGGTATAGTCCCCACCTTCCCGGAGTATCTGGAGCTGCGGCGAGCCGCAGGAGGGATGGAGATTTGCCTGGACTGGGCGGAGGCAGTCGGCGACTTCGAGGTTCCAAGCAGCGTGCACAGCAACCCGGACTTCCTTCGTCTCCGAGAATATACCGACGATGTGGTTACGATGACGAATGACATTTTCTCGGTCCAGAAGGAGGCGCAGGCCGGCAACACCGACAATGCGGTGCTGGTACTTGCCCTGCAAGAGCAATGTTCCTGGGAAAGGGCCACAGAGCTCACCCAGAAGCTGATCGAGCAGGATGTGGCTCAATACCAGACCACAGAGGCCAGGTTCCTGGAAAGTGGGTGCTTTGCCCAACTCGCTCTGCACGAGCAGTCGAATGTGCACCGGTTCCTGGATGCAATGAAGCATTGGATGCGCGGCAGTCTCGAATGGCATCGGAACAATCCTCGGTACAAATGAGGGTTCTCCTCCTGCAGTTTACCAGAGTGCGCACAACCTCGTATCCCTACATATACATGCATCGTCATATGGATGAAAAAATGTAAGTTTATCCCTGCAAGTATGATTACGCATACGGCAAGTAACTTTTGAGGAATGCCAATAGACCGAATCAGGCAAAGAAAGGCTATCATAGACTACAGACTGATTTGCCAGATAGCTGGGGACATATATCGTAGTCGTGATAAGACTTTGCTGTCTTCGGACCCCGCAATGCTTTTTACTGTATTTCTGCTAGAGACTAAAAATAGAATAGGATATAATTTGCATCGCAACCTAGAAGAATCTGCCTCTGGATATTTTCTAGTTACCTTAGCTTTTTTTCTCACACTACTGTTCCCTCGGATACCCGATCATACGACCAACTAAACTCGAATCTACAACACTACATGCCTTCAGGAAATATCTATTTGAATCCAGGCGCTCACCCAATTTTCATGCCATGAAGTATCGTTCCATATCTTTGATATACGACAGGGAAATGTGATTGGTCTATTCAGTACCAAGATCACCCCAAGTATGTCATGTGACCATTGATCACTATAGGATGCCGTAATGTCCTCCGGCCCCGCCAGTTATCAAAGGGCTGCCGTCCTATGTTTGACACCATGACAATTTGCATTGGCAAGAGGCGTCTTAAAGCAAGGAATACCGTTTCCGCCACTTGCCCCGGCATGACATTCTTGGAAGGCCGACCGCCGATGGCATTGCGGACGAACCGTGCCGCAGAAAATTACCTTCAGCCTGTGGAGCTCAGTACGTATAAAAAGGATTCAATGTACTTGGCTATCGCATTCCCTGGTGAAGAGATCTTGGAGTGATCGGCATTTTGGCGGCAAGCCTGGAGGTACAAGTGTCACAGTCAAGAGCAGAACCCCCTTGAGGGATTGCTCCAGAGTCAGGGATTGCGGGGTCTGAACTAAGGGTTAAAACAGGACGACTCACAAACACCTGCACCCACATCCACCAGAGTCGCGGCGCCAAGTGACGCCCATGAAAGTCGAAGGAAGTGGCACAGCTGTTGGCGTGGACAGTGCCGTACAGGAAAGGTATGATTAGGGTGATTTAGTTTCAACTCCAAGATTCATGTCCGGAGTTTCCAGGCAGTCGCATCCAACCCAGTCACGTTTTCACCAAAGCGATAGACTAGATGTCGTGCTTGTAAAGTAGGTAGCTGTCATGAGAGTGCTGCTAATTTTGTGCTTATAGAGTGATATATTTGAGGATTCACTGTGCAACAACCAGAAATCTCCCCCCAACCCAATTTGCAAGCTCAGAGTAGCCTCCCCCCAGCGTCGGGGCTCTCCTGCACCTCAGCATCCACACCATTCCCGGAACTGCCCAAGTGTGAGAAGCAATGCACCCTGTATCCAAAAGGGTCATCTCCAACCCGGGGTGCACCTTCTTTGAGGTCCACCGGACTCCACAAGGTCCGGGAGCCTTTTCTTGGGTCGAGAACTGGTAGTGTGCGACCGCTGCACAGCAAGCGAAAAGGTTTCCCCTGTTCCGCTCGGCCTTGAATTCATGTACTCAGGACGACACACTTCACGGGGTGGGGCCTCCTCAGATCTCTTGATGCCCTAGACACTGACACCTGCTGCTAAAATAGCTGCAAAGGAACGCCTCAGCCTGGTTTACCACCTGTTGTAGAGATCCCGGGGAAGCATAGCAGCACGCTCGGCGTGGGAGATCACTAGCTCATTGCGCCGCGAATAATATTCCAGCGTGGCCTTCTGACCACTCGTGGGAACAGACGCAATTATCCATCTCAGCAAGGCTGCCAGCCGCTGGAGGTCGGCCTGATGATTCTCCTCCCATTCTCGGATCTCAGCTTCTACATCTTCCGGCCAACACGGTATAAACCAGCCGTCTTGTTCGTAGTAGGCACAAGCCAGTTGAGACGTCTGCGACACCCACATTTGAGGTAGGACCTGCTGCAGATCTACAGGCTCTCGCCTGGCCTTGGTCTTGATCTCCAGTATGGACTGCGTTGGAACGGTTTGGCCTCCTTCGCAGATCCTCAACGCCGAATATGGAGAAATCGCCCTCGGGGGATCTAAGATACTCGGGCTGCTCCGCCCCATCGCTGAATCCCCGCCGTCATCCGGTAAGACATATCCGTCCGTCTCATACCGCACCAAACACGACAGTCCCGCAAAGTCATAGGACACGATTCGGTAGTGACCCGTACTGTCTGGGATTCGACGGCTAGTAGCTGCGTTCTCAAACTCATGGCCAAACCCACGAAATTGCTGGCGAGGTATGAAATCCCGGGTCCATATCTCTTGACGACAGAGAAGCATGGTCCTCCCCTGTCGTTCTATTTGAATGGTGAAATCCTCCAGGCGGCTCCTGTTGTGTCTCGGGTTGATAAATGTCAACAGCTTCCGGATGTTGTTGCGGTCCGTCACAATGTCGACTGCACCGATGTCGAAGGCGGGACGAGTGAAGTATAAGCTGCGGAATAGAGGCTCCATCGGGCTGGCCGGGTGACGCGCTGCATTCTGCGCGATGTACAGCAGCCCTGAGTCCTTGGGCACCTTCAAGAGTCTTTTCCCTCGTCTCCTCTGGGTGGGCCACCGTGGACCCCACAGATTAGGACTGCCGGGGATAGCAATCGTAGGGTGCTTGGATTCAATCCAATTATAGGATGCTAGGTGTTGCACCTGGCTGATGGTTGCTGCGGCCTCACAATCTGGCCGCAGCTCGTTTGTGAACAACGTGGAGATGATAGTGGGTTGCATTGCAGCTTTGTGCTGCTAGTATCGGAGGTATTGGCAGGGAAATAATCAGATAAGGAGAATGAAGTAAAATGTTGAGTAGTATGGTATGTATAACTAAGGGACAGACGCAGCATATATAGGGCTATTCAGATGCTCCGTAGCTGGGCATATCTTGACCTGTCTCAGGGACCTTCCCTTAAGCGCTCAGATAAAGCCAGCATAGCATCATCCCCCATAAAAGTTTCACTTGCCCCCTCCCTACCTTTCCCCCTTAAACGGTGCACGCCACCGTTGATGGGTCTTCATTATACTCGGCGATGAGCGAACCATGGAGTTAGCCTTGCATGCGGCGCAGCTCCAGACATTGGATATGCCAGCTTGACGTAGGCACGCTGTGCCACCGCAGCGGCTATTGATTTCGAATGATAGGATACGAATGATCCATTTCCAAGCGCCGGAGCCAACTGCAAGTGAGGTCATACTAAGCCAATCAGCATTATGCGCCCGCGACTACTAGGTGCCTTAGTCCTTGCGGAGCCAATCGGCAATCCCGAGGTGCTAACGAAGGCGTTCTAGCCTCAACACGCCCGCTGGTCTAGTATGACGCAGTCCTTAGTGTCGAGTAGCTTGCTCTCAAGGCACTTCAAATCTCTGTTTGGGAAAGCATGTGAGCTTTTCGACGCTCTATTCTATTCCAAAAGGTCCCCACTATTCTGACCAGAATAGCTCTGAAGGCTGTTTCAAGCAGTAGTCATGGCGCATTCAGCGGGACGGCGGAGCTCAGTCAAAGTCAATCTTGGAGGCTGTGTGTTACCCGTCCTGGTTTCTAACGACATCGGTAAATCTCATGCTTGGAAGAGTGCACATGAAAGCCTGGGTCCATCACTGTACCTCCGGTGGCTTGCCCTTTGATCCCCCAAAGATTATTATCAAGTTGTGCTCCACGTCGAAGGTATTGAGGTAAAACGCTCGCCAAATCATCTACCATCCAGCACCGGTACAGGCTTGGAAACCCATCGGTGTGTCAGGCAATGGTATGTTTACTTGCATGAATGTCTCGTCGACCTCATGTTTGAACGCGCAAGCGTGGAAGACAATGACCAACAAGAGCCGGTTAACTGACTCAGAGCGTAGCATTTCTGGCATATAGCGAGTCTCAAGACAGATCTACCATATTGATAATATTCGTCGATGTCGCCAGCTTACCCAGCAGTTTTTCCTACCACAATGGATCGACCTGGGAACAATATGTGCTGCGGTCGTTTCTTGCAAAGCATGTGATTGACACAGCATGCTTGACATTTCAGTTCTACCAACCTATCTGACGCCCAACGCTGTGCCACATTTCTTTCTGGGTGAAATGATGTACACACATCATTGGCACGAGTTGCATCTAGTACAGCGCCACCAGGCAGACGAGCAGGGTTCGTGCCGCGCCGCGCTGCGCCACCATGAACCCCGCCTCCACGAAGGGTGCGACTGTACGCGAATCAGTTTTCCTATCTCTCGCTCAGATACATCGTCGCCTCACTTTTTATTGTTCGATTCCCACTCGGCCAGCCTTGCGCAATGATCCCCGGACCGGACGGGTCACTCTGCACTAGCCGTCTTTGATGGCCTGCCATAAATCCGCCATGTACAGATAGATACATAGCTCGACTACCGCGGCCGTTCCAGAGATTCCAAGTCCAGATCTCCCACTATAATTCATTGTGCAGAACACAGACCGCTACTATCAATTGAGAGTCCTCGTCAGACAGCCCACTTCGAACCGGACTTCGATCATGCCCGAGCCAGACCGAGCCTCCGGCTTCATGAACACAGCGTTAAATGTGTCCTCCTCCGGGAGTAAACCCCGAGGCTTCAAAGCGAAGCCTGCCAAAAGATCGCGGCCCCAGAAGCCATGGTCCATGTATCCCGCGCTGCACGAACAGGTGCAGGCGCTCCTCGACGACAAGGGTCTGCATTTCACATTCCATACCAGCGATGAAGACGTGGGCGTCGTCCAGCACCATGACACCAGGGTCATGGGGCGGTTTGTCTGCCGCAATGCTTCCTGTCAGGCCGGAGGGTGGTCCAGCAAGATCATCGCCATCACGGTCCGCATGTACTCGCCACGCGAGTACAACGCGCGCGTCTATCACCAACACTGTCGGGGCTGCGGTTCCATCAGCCGACCTGTCCTCGATGAGTCCTCCTACGCAGAACGGATCGCCTATCGTCTCCAGAAGTGGAGTGGCATTCGGCAGCCGAAGCCCAAGTACTTCCAAGGCAATTCCCGGCGCCCGCACAGTCGCGGCTTGTGCGAGGGCTGCAAGGCCGGTCACTGCATAGATGGGGCACAAAGTCAGGATGATGAAGATGTGGATGACTTGTGTACATCGATGGCGAAAATCCTGTAAGCTAATTTGGCCATGCGAGGAAGTAGTGGGGTCGAGGCTTGTCGGCCGTGTGGTCTACATTGTTTCCCGTCAGGCTGGCTTGGTGGATTTGGACGTCCCCATGGCTAGTGCAGTCTGACAGACAGATGTTATGCTAAATGAAGGCATCAACTGGGATTGCGATTTTGCTCCCAAAGAGTGTGATCTAATCGCTTGAGTGGGCTGGTTTGCAATCTCAACGGCCCTAATGTCTACTCCAATCCATTTCAAATAAGCTCGAGCGGTAGACTTTGATTCTCCTGGTAGTAACATATACGCACTAAAGAGGTTTCTTGCAATGAATAGAATGTAGTTGGATCAATACGGTCGTTGGGACTCTGTCACGGTAAGATTGCTTTTACCTTTACAAATGCAGGATAAACTCTTCGATTCCATGCCCTTAAATGGCAGGTGCGCGGCACACTGCTCCCACTTACATGAGACAGTCAGATCCTATGACTTGACAGACTGAATCCCTCCAATAACATCTGCAGAGGCGTCTTGGATGGAATCAGAGCGGGTCAATTGTCTGTTTGACCCATATCCAAAAAGCCATGGACACGGCCTGCCAGTTCGATCCACATTATTAGGGCAGGACTAACATGAGCTGCCTTGGGCTAGACAGACTTCGGGAGTGATCAAACCACCGGCAGGTTGCTGGCGTGTCTGATTCACTATATCTGAATTGCCACGGTTGAGCGGGCGAAGCGAGTGGGTTCCAGAAGGAGGAGGCGAGGCGTTTCTCCCGACTTCCTACTCATCCCAAGACGAGTGTGTGTGGGCGCTATCTGGTGGCACAAGGATAAGGGGCCTTATGGCAGGCAACACGTTGCCTGAAGTCTGCCCGACCGCCTCGTTCAATTTATGTGTGGCATCTGGCAGACTGTTGGCGTGAGATTGATGACTCGCATCCCTGCAAGGGAGGGGTGCTCGGACGCCTGGTGATTGGGAGCCACACTCCCGGTAACCATACACATCATGACACAACAACTCCGTCTTGACCTAGCAGCTTCATCGCTTTAGTACTTCACCCTGAGGTGCTGGAAGCAGATTTGAGGGGTTTGGAGACTAAATCCATACCCACGACTCGATATAAGAATAATGGGAGAAAAGTCAAGACCAAGCCTTGACTTCGATGCACCATCAACATCGACTCACCTTGTTCTCCTCCGAAAGAAATCAGTCGAGCCTCCACTGCAAGCAATGTCATCCATAACCTCAATCGGCCCATCAACAACATCTGAGGCCCTGGGCCTCGATTCCCACGCCATTCTTGCCTTTTTTGCCCGACTCAAGGATCTCACTCCGTCAGATGGATTCAACATGGTTCAGGCGGTGGCTATAGAAAGAAACGGGCTAGTGAATGAACTGACACATTGGCAAAAGAATTTTGTGGATCTTGAGAAAGTTAATCACGACAAGGAGACAACCATCCGTGGCATGTTCGAGACGTTTTCGAAAGAGAAACAGTCCCACGATCACACACAGAGACGGGTGAAAGAGCTTGAAATGACGATTGAACAGCTCAAGGCGGAGGCGTCAAGGCTGAAAGATAGTCTGTCCACCGCTAACGCGCAGGCTCGAGCCCTCGAGGAGGAGAACTCGAAGCTTCAGCGATCGTTAAACGACACTCGCACTAGGTTGAGCACAATTGAAAGCTTTTCTGCAGGACATATTGAAGGCGATGAAAATTCTCTGTGAGCGATACCTGCATTGGTAGTCTCAGCCAGGATATACTGATCAATCCCACAGGATCGATGGGTTCACTGCTCTCTGGGCATTCGCCAAGACAGAGCTGCACCCGCTGCTGAATGTTGATCTCTCCACAGAGGCTGTCTCGGTATGTCCCAGAATTCGAATGTCGAGGTAGAGGTTGCTAAAAAAATCACTCCAAGAACGATTCGCTGTGGGAGAACCTGAGACGCTGCGAGCTGGTTCAGAGTCATCAGATCCCCATCCCCTGTTCCAATACCCAGCCAGCGAAACACATCCGTTTGGCAACTATTCTCGCTCTGCTCGCGCGGGAGATTGACAAATATATATTCCAGCCATGCTATATCATCCCGGAGGAGACGCACATTCGTGAGGTTCTTTTTGACCTTGCCGGGACAGACAGCGCAAAAGAATCCTTTTGCCGGTCTATGCTGCAGTCCATCAACACTATCAACACACCAGACCAGGAGAAGAATCTTTTGAAGATGAAACAGACCGTTGTCAAAAGCGTACTCTCATACCTGGAGGGATCAGTCGCAGAGGCTCATCTTGCTTCCGTGCGTACGGCCTTGGAGAGGATTGTGAGCAGGGCAGCTGATGTTTGGGACCCGATACGTCGCGCGAAGCGCAGATACGAGCCGGATTTCGACCAACCGGGAGTTGACGAGACGTGGCTTCCATTCACTGTAAACGAGCCCAAGCAGGCCAAGCCAGAAATGGGACGGCCGCCCCAGGAGGAACCTGCTCTCACCATCTTTCCGCGCCTTTCAGTCGTCGAAAAGGGAACCATCACGGCACACACGGTTGTCATTCAGCTGAGCAAGTCATCATCCATTTTGCGCGAGGCTTTCGGTGAAATATCAAAGACACGACAAAGTTCTGGCTTGATCCGACTCAAGGGCAAAGGCTTACTGAGCAGATCATCCAGCTCCAGTGGTTCAACCCAGCCAAATGGGCAGACTATCGGTGCCAGAAAGGCAGGTGGAAAATGAACACCCCGCAATGTAACAAATGGCGGCTGTTCTGTGCGAATTATGGGATCCGAAGTTGATACGGAATGTTATGTTGAGGTCCCGGCTGTCTTGTAGAAGCAGGCACGTCGCCCTCCTTTGACCAATTATAATCAGATACAGATTGGAGTCGTGATATATCTATACCTTTCGTATTTTGACGTGAGCGAGTGATTATCTTAAAATGCTGTCTAAAGCACGTCTTCACAAGTGGTATCATTAGAGTACACATGCGTTAGCAGTGTTTCCATTTTTCAGCGACTAAACAGGCGTAGGCAACGTTTGCTTCTTAATACCGCGGCTTACAAGTCCCGCTGGTGGGTTTATTCGGATTACGCATCTCATGATACTGTCCGGGGCAGTCCCATTCTCCACTCAGGCCATTATCCCAAGCATAATATTCTGTTTGGCGATCCGGTAGCCAGGTCTACCACCGCCTCCGGTTGGCCACTTGCCCAGGTTCCTGCAGTGTCGATTCCTATATGACCCAGACTCCTCGACAGAGTTACGAACCCGTAGTGCGTGACGATGCCCATGTCCACCCAGCTGATGCTACTGGCAACTGCAGCCGAGCTATTGTACAGCACCAATAACTAGTTGGAAGTTGGCATATATTATCTGACCCAAAGCTAGATTCGCCCCGCAAACAAGGGAGAGTCACGTATAGAAGACGGCCATACCAGTTATACGGCAAGATGAGCCAATCCAGATCGCTGGAGTTGCCCTTGGAGACCACGTTGATCTGCACGCCACACCCCTCCGGGAGATTGCCGGGACAATTGGAGAAGGTGTATTTTATCGGAATCAACGTCGACGGGGATGAAGGAGGCCCATTGAACCTTGGCATACGTGCCGTTGGCGTCAATGTACTATTGGAACGTGGCCGCTGTGCACTTGGTCACATTTACTGGGGTGGCCACTGCGGAAGCTGCAGAGCCGACCACGGCCGTCAATACAGCTACTTTCGCAGACCGCATATTGAAGTATAGGGGACATATGGTTGATGTACTGGTTTCAACAATGTCTACACCGTCACGGAGTTGGTCGTTCGAAGTGCTGATAAATATAGACAACATTCCCCAGCATCATGAAAGCAGGATGGTGATGGCATGTATCCCGATAGTCGCAGCGAGAAACTGCAGAATGGGCCTCAATTAATTTGGTTATAATCTTCTCAACATTGGTATGTCTGTGACCCAAGGCCTGTAAATATCCTGCGCTAGGTCCATTGACGTGCGACCTACATAGGAAACTATGCCGCACAAATTAATCAGGCCCTTTCCGAAGCCGAGCAGCACGTCGACAGTGCCCATATCCACGAATCGATCTTCCACCGCACCGGATATTCTAATGGCGACATTACTTGGATAGCCTACTTTGGTTCTAGATGCCAGGATGATGGGTCCGGCAAAAGTGATTTCTGCTAGAGATATTCGTTTTGAGGAGAAGATGGGCTTGGCCTGTTTCGGGCTTGAGGCGCCTGCATTATACTTTGGGGTTTACGTCAAGACTTATGTGTGCATCCTGAGAATAAAGATGTTGCGTGAAAGTGTGCTCGACAGGCGGCCGCAGACTAGCTTTACAACTCCTCATTAGGAAAGTGTTAATCACACCTTGTTGTACTGTGTGTTCCTCTACCTATATCGGCGGCAGAGTTCTGTATAAACATAAGCCAGTAAACATTCAGTAGATACGGTTGACCCCGGGGTGTGGTGAATCGATCTTTCTAGTCCCCGACAAACCTTGTGTAGTGATTCGAACAAGGGGGATACCGTTACCACACTGTCTATTTAGACCCCAGATAAATCGCCAAATGGATAATGACTAGAACACCGACCGCACTGCAGTCTCGGATTCTGCCTTTTCATGGTGGAGGTGGAAGTTGAGCGAGGATAGGGGAGGGGGGGGGGTTCGTTACATCAATCTGGAGGGCAAGAACCTTTGTCAAGTCACTTGGCAAGCTAACCGAACAATACTCTTGTGTTTCCTTCCTCTGGTCTTAGGTTATGCTATGTTCTATCATGAAATGATGATAATAGGGTTGCGGGATTCCTTAGAAGGATGATGATTGCTGTTTGACTTGGGGTTCAGTCGGGTAACAATGACTTTGCTGGTACGTGCCGACCTACGGACTTGTTTAGCAGCTACCCTGTTAGACTAAAGCTCTGCTAGTAGAATAATAAGCAGAGAAACATAGCCTACATACAAATTCTAATAACACTTATAAGTTCAGAATCTAATTATTTTGGCGAAGCAGGAAAAGAAAAGAAAACTTATTGCCTCAGAAAAAAACCTTGATAAAGATACCTTGAGTTTTGAATGACCCTAGATATCCTTGTTTGAACAGGAGCCTACTCAATGATATGTTTAAACACTCCCCAACAGGATCGAGGAAGTAGGAAAACTTTGAGAGAGAACAGAATAGTGAAAAATTCAGTAGTCTTGAAGGACTGCGTAGTTAGGGCATGTAAATTTGATTCTCCTGTGCATTATTCTGCCCGATATCTTGGCAAATCTTCTATTTCCGCTAGGATGATGCCTATTTTATCAGTCGGTCACCGCTGCGGTAAGAGTCCTGGCATCGATTATTCTCTCTCGTGGCTCACCCCACGATATCTTTATCAACCCCACATTGAGCGACTACTGCTAGAAACAACAAAGAATGTGTCGTCGTTGCTAGTTCGGCGACGTGATTCTAAGATATACAGGAAGGCAGATAGTTCCAACCACCAAGAAGATTAAGAACTTGTCCCATCACCTTGCCTCTGAAACCTCAAACCGCCGTCAGAATGTCACGCAAATCCATTCTCGATCTTCCTGCCGAAATCCTCGACCAGATCCTCTCCGTCTGCGAGCAAGACTCTCAGAAGGCAGACGCTCATTGCAACGCCCCTCTCCTCACCTGCCAGAAGCTCTACCATCTCACACTCCGCGTCCTCTACCGCGACCTACGGTTCACCTACTACTCTCCTCCTCCATCGCGGACGAGCTCCCTGCACCGGACTCTAGAATCGAATCCAAGGCTATATTCGTTCGTCCGGTCTCTTGTCCTCGATCTGCGACCGAAGGATCCGGCCGAATATATCACTCTCGACGACTATGTGGCGGCCGCTAGCGTGCTAGGCCGGTGTGAGGCGATCCACTCGCTGCAGATCTGGGGCGCCGCCTTCCTGTCACCCGAGGACCGGAGACCTTTCCAAATGGAAACGCTGCCGGGCCAACCGCCAATCGACCTCTGCCGATGGGAACTCTTGCAGTATGCTCTCTGCCAATGCCACAAATTGCGGAAGGTCGAGATGGCCAGCAACCGAGATTCGCCCGGCTATGGCTTCAAGCTCCGCTTCGACTGTCAGGCGCAGGCCCATGACTTGCGACTCTTGCCGGGCACGGGCATAAAGCTCCCTGTGCCAGGGACGACTCCCGCAAATGAACGTGCGTTACGGGTTGGTTGTCCTCTCCATTTATCTCGGAAGAATCATGTGTCTGAAGTAGAAGACCAAAGATCGGTCGAAGCTGACCCGAACCCTTTTAGATAGAACGGAAAAAAGGCGATCCAGGTCTGCAGGGTGATGCCCACCATCGCTCGATTGACTTCAGCATATCATTCGGGGAGGGTCACGCCAGAGAAGGGTATGAGGCGAGGAACATCGAGTTTATCCACGTCTTCGTGTGGATGAAACGTCATCCGCAAACGCTCCGGCGCATGGTCTTCGGTGACTTCAGGTCCTCTACGCTGGTTAAGGAGTTCCGAGCGGCGGCGTACCCCAACCTGCACACTGTCGTCTGTCCGCCCGTCCACGTGAAGGAGCGCAGGCGTGGGTATAGCACGTACAAACCGCCCTCCGAGGTGGTCGATCGGCTTCTGGGCCCGTCGGTGCATACGTTTGTGTTCGACCTGGCCACCTATGACCAGCAGTTGGGACTATCTTCTACCGCGTTTGGGGAGCCGGAGGAGCGATGGCTGCGGGAGCTGGCCCATATTGCCGCCGCCCCGGGCCGAAACTCGGCGCTGCGGACAATCTACATCGACTTTAAACCGGACCCGGATTGTGAACAGGGATTCGATCCGGCGAACTATGCTTGGGACCGTATAGTGCGATTGCAGAGGCAATTGCAGCCCTTGGGCATTCAAGTGGAGTATACAGCGCCTTCGATGAGGCGAGAAGAGTATCACGAGCTGTGTCGCCAACATCAGGAGTGGATCGCGGATGAAGCCCATCGGGAGGAAATGAGGAGGATATTATTGTAGAACCTCTTACCACATAACGCCTTCTTCGGGGGCTGGCCATCATGACTACCGGTCGGAGAACCAGCTGGCAGGGCTGAGTGGTCTATAGCAATGTCATATCATTTATCTACCTCGTAATTTAATTTGTACAGTCTCCTCTTCTAGACTAGTATGGGCTCCACCCCGCTAGCCCAGGGTGCATCGAATCCAGTTCCCCATCCAGTCTAGTCATACTCAGGCGACATGACTAGCTCTATCCCATTGCAATAAGACCATGTGTTCGGCATAGACCCCTGAGCAAAAAAGCATGTGCTGCCGCTTGTATCACTCCGCCCTAGCCCTCATCTTTCTCTCTCTTCTTCTTCTTCTTCTCCTTCTTCTTCTCCTTCTTCTTCTCCTTCTTCTTCTCCTTCTTCTTCTCCTTCTTCTTCTCCTTCTTCTTCTTCATCATCCTCAAGCTCGACATCCAGCTCAACATTAACAACATCAGCTCCGCTCCCAACCTTCTTACCTAAGACCACAACCACAACCACAACCACACCAACCTCACCACAACCGTCACGCAGCCCTCCGACCGCGCCGGCAGAATAACCGAAATAGCCGCCCGATCCACCGAACTGAGGCAGAACATCATCAACCCGGTGCCCACCCTGACACTATCCTCCTGCTACCCCCGCCAATTCTACTCCAGTGCGATCGCCCCTCACAATCCTGCCACCGTACACCCAGCTGATCTGTCCGCTGGACTGGGAGACGTATAATCTCACCGAGACGTATCTCATCTGCTGTCCGAGGTATGTTCTTTCCCCTCCCGATCGAGCGATCCGTCGCATCGCTGACTGAATGAATGATTCTGCATAGCGGGTAGGGAGTTCACCTACCCGACTACCGCGACGCGACGCGCCCGGGACTGGGCGCCGTCTGCACGTCGAGCGTCTGGCCGAACGTGCTGATGGATATTACTCGCTGCGATGCCGCGGGGAGAGTGACGGTGATTCCGACCTCGGCGGGGAAGGAGGAGACGTTGGTGTTTGCGACAGCGTTTGATGGGACGAGCGCTACGGTTATGGGTGAGGCTTTGGCGACGGCGGGGGGAGTTTCTGGTTAGTGGTGGTGCTGCGGTCGGGGTGTCTACCCGTAAGAAGACTTCGGGGGCGTCGAGGGTGGTTATGTCTTGGGGTCGTGGGGCTGGGTGGGGTTCGTACTTGTTTTCTCTGCTTTGTGTTTTGTGTTGGAGATAGTGGTGTTCTTGTAAGTGAGGGGTTCAGTTAGAGGTTTTATGTTGATTTCGTCCACATCCTTTGATTATGGTAGTGTGGCTGTTTGATGTCCTCACTCATGCTCGGGCCGAGTGTACTGTGCAGACTATCTGTGCTTGTACTGTACCCAATCCCAAGTGAAGGTAGTTTGATCCTGACTGTGGAGTTGATCGTGGGTGGGCGAAGAGTCACTGGACTGGAAGAAAGCAAAGGACTAAATGCTGACCTTTACGGGACTCCGATGGTTTCCCCTGGGTTAAATCAAGCTAACTCATTCAGGGTCCTACACAATGTCTGGCTAAGCCCCTGATAAGCACTACCAAGCATCGGCTAAGCACTATTGAGTGCTAGGATGATGGCTGCATGTGCTGTGCTAGCTTGGCAGGCTCGCAGAGTGTCGGTCTCACCTGGCAGGGTTCGCGTTCGAACCCAATGGGTCAATGTCAAATGCATGAGTTGTGATTCGTGGGCTGTTTCTTCTTGTCTCACTTTCACTGAGTGATGACTGTTAATATCATTGAGCTCGCTCCACCCAGGGTGGCCTTTCAGGAACCTGCGGCGCTGCCCAGTGGTTACGCTTCCCGGAACGCTCCGAGCCAGCCAGCCAGCCAGCCAGCCAACTGCTGGTCGGTGCCTTGCATGATTCATCCCGCTTAGCCCCTGCGGCTGTGGTCTTGTGTTCTGTAACTTTATGAGGGGTGGCGTAGCTCTAACTCGGGCTGTTGCCACCGTGTTGCTGGCAAATGAGAATACTGCTCTCTGCAGGCATGAACACGAAGAATTGGATCTCGCGCACATCACAGTCTAGAATGCAACACCTAGATGCATGTCTCGCAGACATGATCTTTTCCTAGGCGCGGTTATAGCTTAGCTGAGTACGGGTCAACCATTCGAGCCCAGCGCAGCATACATGCATAATGTTCCCCCATCCACATATCTTACTCCTCGATCTCAACAACAAGCCCAGGAATCAACTCCACGCTCCCCGCCCTCTCCCCCTTCAACGCCAACCGAACCCCCAATTGCTCCGCATTCTCAGTCCCCACCAATTTGACCTTACGTCTCCCCCCGGCCTCTGAAGACGGAACATCCACCCCCCACAAACCCTCAGACCCGTCCCCAAAAACGGGAGTATAAACCTCACTCAACCTCTCCCTCTCTCCCGCAGGCACCACAACTGTCACCCCGGCCACCCCGGTCACGCCCGAAGGATGCCTCGTCAGGCCCTCCCCTTCCCGGTACGGAACCCGCCACGCTCTTGGCGTCCTATCCAAACACCAAAACGGCAACCGACCCACCTCAACCTTCCCCGGAGCTTCATGCCCATCCCCCCCATCATCATAGACAGCAGAACTGATCTCCCACTCCAACCTCACCCCATCCCCCTCCCTCACCCTTCCCCCAGCCACAGGATCTGTATACACAATCCCCGTCGCGGACCGTGCAGCCTCCACCCGCCGCTGCACCGCCCCGAACTCCTCGGCCGAGGCGAGGGTGAGCGCCCAGTCGATCACGGTGTTCTCGGGCTGGGTGCCCCAGCGGTGTGACCGGCGCTTCTCGGGATCGATGTCGGCGACGAAGGCGATTAGCTCGAGGTAGACTCCGTCTTGCAACAAGATGAGCTTGTTGGTGGTCAGGCCGTCGGAGTGGGTGCCGCCTGGGGCGAGATGGAAGGATTCGATGAGGCGGGAGGGGAGGGATTCGAGGGTGGCGTGCGAGACGAGGAGGACGATGTGGTCGAGGTGGGGTTGGGGGGGCATGCTGGGTGGTGGATTGTCTGGTGAGTGATTTTTGGGGTGTAGGATGGGATTGTTGGTGGTAGGTGAGTGAGGTTGATGAAGTTGATGAGGTTGATGATAAGTGGAGGTTGCGGTGGGGGAAAGAAGGTTGGGTGAGGGGTTTGTTTATGCGTGTGTTGCTGGTGCGGGGTTGCGGATTGCTCATCGGGGGGCGGAGGCACCTCATCTTATCTTCTGTGGTCATTCCATGGGCAGCCGGAGCCTTTTTTTTTTTTTGGCCAAACGTGACATGACCTTTCTCGTTGTACGAGTCCCAGTTTGTGATACAAATGCGACTGTAAGGCTCTCCATCGCATCCATTGGTTCGCTTTCGAATGTTTCCCTCTGGCTACTCCCGAGTGGATACAGACTGTGCCACAACCGGACGGCTTCCGGCACTGACATCTTAAATCGAGTCTGCTCCGTCGCTGGAAGAACCAACGCACAAGCACGAGCCCTGCTTGTTCTTGGTAACCTGCCTTCATTCTCCCGGCTGGCTGTGAGTACTCTTCGGGCTTCAATCAAGTCATCCATCTCAATTCCAATATGGGTCTCCTGGGTTAGGGGGAATTGCGGGATCTACTCAAATGTGACCAAAGGCGCGCATTATTTGTTTGCTTGCGACTACCGTACTGTCATCCTGGCATCGGCAGCTTTCATCATGAAGCGGGTCACGGTGAAGATTCCCGTTGCATGGGGTCAGATCGCACGGGTCCAGAGAGGAATCGGCGGCTCAGGATCCTTCCACACCCGCGTAGCCTGTAGGACCTGGCATCTCCGTGTGAGATTACCCAGTTCAAGCTGTGGAGCACATTTACTGCGGTAGACGCTAACGCAGCCGCCTCGCCTTGGAGCCACTGCTGCTTTCTTCCTCGGGCCCTCTTTTTGTGCCATCAATTCCTGAGGAAGCAATGCCTTTGGCGAGATATTGAGCCCTAGGAGCCACCAACTCAGCGGTAAGACGGTCGGCAAAGGTGCCATACGGCTGGAATGCAATCTGTCTTGGTCGAATCACCGGACGCTCAATGCACGCTGTGGCAAGATTTGGACAAGTGAGCGGCTTGCGAAGCTCAGCGGTGATCTCAGCCTCGTACAAATGAATACGTTCGTGGTCCCTTGCGCCGGTCACGAGAAGCCGCGACTAGAAGCACGTGAGCTTAGGAAGACAAGGACTTTGTATTGGGGAAAGACAGACAGTGTAAGAAGTGATCTCTGGTTCGGGCGGCTGCACTTTGCGCTCTTGAAGTTGTGCAAGAGCCAACAGCAGGCACACAAGATAGGGGTCCTCAGTCCACTCCGGGGGGCTTATTTGAGCCAGTCGCTTCTTGGCAATCGCCGCGCCGATCCAGTTGATGCGTCCACGCGGATCTGGACATACCTCGAAGAGTCTCATGCGATCTCCGTTGACGTATCCATAATGCAGGTAACCGACCATTGAGGGTGCGCCTCGAAGCACATGCTCGCTGGCTCGTCCATGGCGATGCAGTACCGTATACTGGGACCGGTGAACTGGTTTACCTGCAAACGAGAATCGGGGCCCTTTGCTGCTCCAGGCAGGTCTTTAGTCAGCCACTGCCGATGAGCTGGGGGTCGTGTTGCCGGATCAACGTATCTCTTACCGAAATCGAGCAAAGGCGCGTTCCTCGCCCACCAGAATGTCGACAAGGCAGTGATGTCTGACGTTGGGAATCGGTGATCGTGCGACCCGCTCAGCATTCCTCGCTAGGTCTGCGCAGGTCTGTGGGGTGGCTCGGGTTTCGTCTTTCCTCCCAGTGGATTCTATGCTGGTATGGTCCGCATCTTCAAATCTACATCCTAAGAGATTGAGATGGTGTGAGGTCCATGATAGCAGATTTACGAGCAATTCACGATGATTTTGCATGAGGTCGCTGAGTGATACTTGATGTGACGAGGTCACCATTGTGCCAACAGCCAGGGATGGGAACATGTACAGGTAAATTGTTTGTTGGCTAACCTGGGTATTGGGCCGATAGGGATACCCTTCACCGCTTGATCTGCCCGCAATTGCTGAGACCGCCTACGGTAGTCTCCTCTATGTGGAGGCAAGATTTGGTACGGATTATCGAGTGTATGTGCTGGATATACCCAGTTAGATTATACATACTTTGCAAGTGTGACCATTTATCTGTTTTGCTCTCCCAGTCAGAAAATCACGGTTTTAGGATTATATATGACCTACTTTAGCCCACACCCTTTAGGAGAGTCGATCTCAGCAACATCTTGAGGACTTACTCCTTGGTGCTGCGGTGTTTTTGTAAGACTCAAGTTTGGCCGACTAAAGCCCCTATAGATAGTAGATCTTGATATTGGTAGGTAGTCCATGGAGCTTCAAAACCGAGAAGGCTGAATTCCTCGATCACCAGAGAAAAAGCTATCCTTCCCCCTCAACAGTCCAAGGATGATGTCCAACAGTAAAATCCGATCGCTCAGAAATAATAAATTAGAACATCGGCATGCAACCTCGCCGAGGCATCCCACCGGCACCGAGCCGCAGAGCTGATCATCCAACACAGCAATAATACACCGCAGCCAAGAACCCAACCCCTCAGCATAAATTGCCTGACTCGACAGCGATAGCCCTGAGACCTGGCTACTGTTCAGAAAAGGGTCCACTTTTCCCCTCTGCAAGCCTGAAACCACGTCACAGGATGACCTTATCCGGGCTAAGCTGCGGGACCCTGGCAGAGAATTATCTTATCTGATCAACATGCAATTTGCATCCGGGGATCTGATTAGAGGGCAGCCCCATTCACCCTGAGACATCCCACATTGCCAAGAGCCCGCCGCGGCCGGGCGAGGACCACCAGCCCCGGTGGTCGAGGGTGGGATGAGGTATAAATTCGAGGCCAACGAAGTCAAAGACAGTCTCAGCTGAAACCAATTCTTCCTCGCATATCCAATCTACGCAGATCTCGCACGTCAACCATTATATCTCACCATGCGTTTCTCCAGCGTCCTCGCTCTGCTCTCCCTGGCTGTCCTGCCTGCCTTCGCCAGTCCAGTTGACAACAACCAGGTATTGCCCCCTTACCCCTGTCCTGCTTCTGAGATATTCTCCTTGTACTAACAATTCTCTGTGGGGAATAGGAATCCTCACTCAGCAAGCGCTGCTGCATCCTCTGCGACAACCCCTACGCCCGCTGCGGCGCGAACGACAAGCGCGAGGCGGTCGAGACGGAGGAGGAGGCGCTCTTCGGCCCCGTCGCCAAGCGCTGCTGCGTCAACTGCGACGTCAACCGCTGCAAGCGCGACGAGGAGCCCGTGGCCTGGCCGGCGAAGCGCTGCTGCATCCTGTGCGACAACCCGTACGCGAGCTGTTTGACGAACGACAAGCGGGAGGCAGTGGAGACTTTGGAGGAGGCTGTTGGGGAGTACTAGGGGTGTCTACAAGTTGGTGTATTCTTTGTGACGAGAGACGAGATGGGATGGATCAAAGACTCCATATCGATGTATGCCGGGTGATTGTGGAATAGTTGAAGTTGGCATGTCAGATCCTAGGTTAGGGTAGTCGAACCATGAACAATAGACACGACTCTCTTGTAAGAGTGTACGTGTGTGCTATAGTAAAGTTCCTCTATTTAACACTATCTTGTAATCCGAAGCTATATCGAGGATTATCTAATTTATGATTACTTCTCGTTGGGTTGTGTGGTTAGTGAGTGGATAGTCAGGGAAGAAATACGGCACCTCCTTGGAAATTTCAGCGGGGTATACCCCACCAGACCTACACTCCAAAGACTCAGTACATGCTCCTCTGTGCAGGACCATAGTCGACAATAGCCTTAGCTAAATGCTCACGAAGGTGCTCTTGAGCCCATCGGAGCTACAACACGCGGTGAGTTACCCCTGGCCTGCAAGGGCGGCTGCAAGGGATACATGCCACGACCAGCTCCAACCCAACAACGCACCTCGAATCTCATCCACACGTTCAACGATACGTAATCACGCATAGTAATTCACCGAGCAGACAAAACCCATCTCCCCTCCCAACCCACGACCTCCACCACAACACCACCCTACCACATCCCACTCCAACCCATCCCAGCTCAACCACCACCACCCACCGAACCCACAATGCATCTCACCCGCACCCAATGGCTCCAAGCCCTCACCCTCGCCCTACGTACATCCCATCCCCATCCTTTACCCC